CACTTCAGCAAATGGAGGCCCCAAAAGCTCTACTTTATCCATATCATTTAGGTGGGCTCTACTCTGATGAGGCAGCTCTTTCTCAGTCATATGTTGAGTGCCTTCCATCCTGAGAGTCTCATCTTCTGGCACTGTATCAGATAATGTTTCAGGGCCATTCATAAAATTTTCCAGTGATATATTAGAGAGTGGTGTCACTACTATTCATAAGATTTTCACTGGACAATTCTTTGAGAAGTGGATGGCCTCTTCCTTCTTCTGAGTTTGTCTCAGTCTGGAAGATCTATCAGATCTCATCCTCCAAGGGCACTCCTGCTGGTGCAGCCTCCAGCCTCACAGTAGCACGCAAGCCACCACACTATGACAAACCAACAGACAGGGTCATCTCCCTTAGCTGTTCCAACTGCTCCACTCACTTCCTGGGCTTCCCCCTGCTTGTTCCTGCTGACCCTGTCTGCCATTGCCCCTCCCTCCTTGGGGGCTGTCCCCCACCCACCTTACCTGTTCCGGCTGCCAACCCTGTGTGCCGCTGCTTCCTGCAAGTCCACAAGAGCTGCCTTGGGGGCTATCCCCCACCCTCCTGTGGCCACATTCCGTATCTTATTCCACCTCCTCCAGTCCCCATACAGGCCCCTTCCTCTCCCGCTGACTTACACTGTGCTCATCCAGCTTGGATTCCTTCTCCCTTGAATTGGTGCCACCAATTCCATGTTGGCTCTCTAGTGCTTCTGTAACAGAAATACTACAAGGGGGTGGCACTAACAAACTGAAATTTATTTTCTGAGTTTGTTGTTGTTGTGTACTGTCAAGTCAAGTACAACTTGTAGCACCCCTAGAGGACAGAGTAGATCTGCCCCATTGGGTTACCTAAAGTGTCATCTTTACTGGAGCAGATTGGCAGGTCTTTTCTTTTGCAGAGCTGTTGGGGGTTTGAAATAGAACTTTTTGCTTAGCAGTCGAGCACTTAATGACTGCACCATGAGGGCCCCTTTCCTATAGTTTAGGAGCTTAGCAGTTCGAATTTGGGGTGCCAGCTCTAGAGGAAGGGGCTCTCTGCCAGCTCAGGGGTAAGCCCTTGTCTCTGCTCCCCAGCTCCTTGGCAAGCTTCGCGTGGTGGGTGTGTCTCGCTCTGTCTGCTTCCTTCTCTGTGTTTAATCTGCTCCTTTCTATCTCGAAGGCTGTTGGGTTAAGACACACCCACCCTGCCCTGGTATGGCCACATTAATATAAGAAGGAAGCTCAATCCCAGATGGGATTACATCCACCCCTATAGAAGTTAGGATTCACAACACATACTTTTAGGGGTGAAAATTCGGTCCATGACATTCTACCCATTGCCCCCCCCCCCAGAAATTCATATCTCTCCCACATGCAAAGCACATTCACCCCATCACATCACTGCAAAAAGTCTGAAATCAACTCCAAGTCTAAAATCCTATCTTCTGAGTCATCTAAATCTAGCACTTTGGTGCAAGAGTCCTTTCCACCATTGGACAGTCCTCTGGTCAGGCTTGAGTTTACCATGCCCTCTGCTGGTGGCCTCAGCTGCCTTGGGCTCTGTCCCACCCCGAACCTGCAGTCTTGGTGAGCTCTGGGCTGCCAGCAAGATGACCCAGCAACCCCAGGAGAGAGGCGTCTTTGTGGTCTTGCTCTGGTGGTGTTTTACCCCTGGAACTCTGTGGGCCCTCCTTGATTCTCCATAAAGGCAACTCCTCCACGCTGTTCCACCAACCCACTTCCTATCTCCATGTGTGTTCTCTTCTCCTCGGTCCTCTTTCGTCTTTCTTACTTCACTTTTCCCTTTCTACCTTCCATCCTTGTCCACATGCCACCAGACACTCAAGATGCCTCGCCATATTGATGACCTTCAGCTTAGTGTTGCTCTTACGTCCCCTCCTTGGGCCTACTCCTGAAGCCTTCCCATCATCCAGGAAGTTTCCATGGATTGGTGGAAAAGCACATGGCTCTTGGCCACATCTGTTGTCAGGAAACTCCATGCCCCCTTTTAGTTCTACTGCCTTGAGGCCACCATGTGCCCCTATTTCCTGCTCGAGGAACACGTCTTCTCACATGGTACCACTGTGTCACAAGGTGGTGTTCTGCCCTGTGATCCTGGTCCTGCCTGGCTGTCTCTACTATACATCTCAGATGTGATTGCAGAGGGCTCTTTGTCATTCCTTTCGTTCCCTGAGGACTGAGCACTGGATGATGGCATTAATGGGGACAGACGCCACTCGGCAAGAAGACATTTCAGCCTCATCTTTCTAAAGGAAGATGGCCTGGGGCCTAGGGAAAATCTTTTCTTCTCTCATTCCCATGTTCTCTAGATGCCATGACTGTGCTTGGTGTGGAGACAATTGACTGCACATTGTCCCCTCCATCACTGAAATGTCTCAGTAAGTTAACTCCTGAGATTAGCCCTCAGCCCCTGCGGCCCCCACACAATACGATGCTGGGCCATCTGCCCTTGTGGTGCTTTCTTCCTCACTTCCTCATCTCACTTGTGTTATGAAAGTGTGAAGAGAAATTCCATTGACTGTGTGGGCAGTGGGGGTGGGATATTTGCCTAAAACTTGCAGAGAAGTATAGTCGGTCTCTGAAAAATAGGACTAATGTTTGTAGGTGGAAAATGGGCTCTTTTTGTGTAACTTGTGGTCTTTTACGTAGCTCTGGTGGCATGTTGCCTAAGGCATTTGACTGCTGACCAGAAGAAGGTTAGTGGTTCAAATCCATAAGCTTCCCGGGGAAGTGAGATGGGCTAGTCAGCTTCCTTAAAGATTTACCACCTTGGAAACCCAATGGGGGTCGCTATGAGTCAGAATTGACTTGATGACAGTGAGTTGGGTGTTTATTTTGGTTTGGTGGTCTTGTAATATTTTTTATTGGATTCTGAGACCTGTGACTGAACATAACAGTGCAGGTACCTAAGCAGATGAGCCGAATGGTCCATGCTAACTACCGTGCTGCAGCTTTTCTTTAACTTGTGCGAACAGGATGGCAGGACTTGGTTGGAGGAAGAGGACTGAATTCCACATGCGCTGCTGACTGTGTGTCTGTGGCCTCATGGGCTGGGACTGTCCACGTTCACAGCGCCGTGCTCTCGGGGATGTTACTCTGTATGCTCTCACTTCCGTGTCCACTGAAGGGTTTTGTTTTGTTTGTTTCCCTACTTGGCTGCACAGGAAGATCCATCCTGCGTTGTGAGTTTTGCATTTTCCTCATTGTCTTCAATGCAACCCATTGTCTGTGTTTACACGCATGGCCAGTGCCACATCTGCCTCCTTTCTTGTGCCACCACTCAGAACACAAAGCCCCCTCGCCCCCACATGGAGCATGCCCATGTGTCCAGCATCTGTGACACGACCCAGTGGGAAACCCAGTGGCCTCACGTCGCACTAAGCAGTTTCTGTCTTCTCTTGGTTTCCTCATCACAGATACTGCAACGAACATTTGCTGTGCCCCCCACACATGTTCTGGACAGGCTGGGGTCCCTGGGAACGGTGCACGGCCCAGTGTGGGGGTGGCATTCAAGCTCGCCGCAGGACCTGCGAGAATGGGCCAGATTGCGCAGGCTGCAATGTGGTGAGTACCTTCCTCCTCACTCCCCAGCATGGTGCAGGGCCATGAATCCACAGCATATGTGCTCTGCACACATGAGGGTCTCTGTAAACACTAAATGCTTTGAATGCATTAGGTGCTCTGCAAGCCCTAAGTTCTCTACACACTTGAGGTGCTCTGCAAGTACTAAGTGCTCTGTACACACTAGGTGCTCTGCAAACACTAAGTGCTCCACACTCACTAGGTGCTCTGCAGACACAACATGTACACCTAGATGACTATACCTTCTAGATGTTCTGCACACACTAGGTGTTCTGAACACACTAGATGCTCTGAAAATGTCAGTTTCTCACAGAGATAAGGTAGTAAATGCTTTGTCGACACGGCATGCCAAGACACTACACACCATGCACACACCAGCTGTCGTACATCATGTTGATTCCTCTGGTCAGTGAGAATGTCTTAAAGAAATACTGATGGTCAGAGCAGCCTAGAGCCTTCCTGAGCTAACTGTTCACGTCTGGGTAGAAGTGCCCAGGGATCCCACAGAGCTGAATTCCCAGGGAGGAGAACCACGTCTGCCTGCCAATGTCCAGTTGAGTGGCGGGTCCGCTGCCCTCCCTGAGCCTGACTCCTTTTCTGAGAAAGGGGTGGGTAAAGTGATGACTACAGGTATCAGCAGAGGACATGGGAGAGGTGGCTGCTTCCTAGACTGGACCACAGGGGTCTGTGCAGGTCAAGAGGTAGGCCAGTAAACCGATACCTGCCCCCGGGGCCTCTGCACTTGTGAATCAAGGTGAATTGATGCTGGATTTTGGGGGATCATATGATGGCACAGTGGGTAAATTTAGGAGACAGTGAAACTTGGCAGTTGGAATTTCGAGTGGACTGTAGTGTATCAAATGATGACAGTGTTAGCGACCTCATGGTGGAGCTGGCTCTCTGTTGGTGGTGGTCGTCATCAGGGTGATCCCAAGCCAAAGCACCCCTTCCAAGGTTGACCTTTCAGATAATCACCAGGCTGGGCTCCCAGAACCCCTCTGGGTGGGTTTGGACGGCCAACCTTCAGCCATGAAGTTGAGCCCTTCACCCTCTGTGCCACCAAGGGTTCCTCAGAGTGCCTCGTTCTTGTTAACTCACTGGGTGTGTGAGATGCTTTGGGAAATGCTAACTTATGGAACCCTGAGTTTTCCAACAGAAGAATCGAGGCCCAACAAACCTAGTTCCATGGCTGAAGCACTGGAGGCAGCAGGTCCGGGCCCTTGGCCTGTGTCCCCCAAGTTCCTGGATGCTGTGGCCCCTGTCAGTCAATGTACCCACCTGCCTACCTACTTACCATCCCCATCTGATGTCTGGGACTATGTCAGCTCATGATGCTCCTGAAGGCACGCGGTGAGAAGGGCCCATCCCTGCTCAGCCTGTCCTGTCTGGTCTCAGCTGGACAGAGTTCCCCTGTGGGAAAACTTCATCTCACCTACTTGGGTTGTATTTTCAGAAGGAACCATTCCCTGGAGAAGGATAACATGTTAGGTAAAGTAGAGAGTCGGTGGAAAAGGGAGAACCCTCAACGGATGGATGACACAGTAACTGTAACAGTGGGCTCAACCACAGCGAGATTTGTGAGGATGGTGCAGGACCGGGTGATGTTTTGGTCTCTTGGTCGCAATGAGTCAGAGCTGACTCAATAGCACCTAACAGCAACCACAGGTTCTACTGTTGAAACTTCCTTGCATTCCTTGATTCCTGGAATAAACCCCACTTGATCATGGTGTATGTAATTTAGTGTTACCCTTGTGTGCATTCATGAGTGGGGGAGAAGGTCAACATCAGTGCAGAGTTGATTCCATGAGGTGGAGATCAGACATACCCCAACATTCCAACTTTCTTGGACCATTACTGACTCCAGCTATCCTCCCCATGGCCCTCCACTTCTCTGTTGGGTTCGATAACTGATTGAATTGGCCACACAGAACTCAGTACTCCCAGTTAGACAGCTCATTAAGCTATAACTTAGTATCAGGATCAACTCGGAAGTAACAGGAACAACTCGGAATTCAAGATACTGTTCTTCAGTCGGGATCGCTTCCAACAAGATGGCTCTCAGCTTCTTCTGAGCCTTGCCCACCACCAGGCCTTCTCTCTGCCTCTGCCCGGCTCAGGCAAGTGTTACAGCTATTTTGGCTCTGCTGACAAGTGCCTGGAGGAACCCCACTCTGCCAGAAAGCCTCCTGACCAAAAGCCGTTCAGCTTTTGCTCAGTGGGTCACCAGGCCCATTGCAGCCACCTCACACCAATCTCCTGGTTCCTGCCTCTCATATTCCTGCGCCCTTTTTCTGCCACTGGGCTCTTCTGTGGTTATTGCCGTTTCCCACCATCTTGATCCATTGTTCACTGTCTTGAGCCATCTGCAGTGCTAAAGCTCCCTCTCCTGCCCTCCTCTGGGTTTATGAGGTTTTCAGCACAGGGAACTTGTGTCCAAAGATGCAGTCCACTCTAGAGTCTTCTAGATTTGCCCTATGTAAGCCGCCTCCTTGTCAATTTCAAGGTATGGTCCTTCCACCAGGACCAGGAACTGACATTCCCCTCTGTAGACCACAATCACTTATCTGCATACTAATCAACCAGTTTTCACAAGGCCTCCTAATCCTATTGGGTGGTTTTACACCTTCTGTTTGCATAGTAGACCCACTAAACCCTTTGCAAGATTGTAACCTCCCAATCATCTTGGCAGAATTACAAACCCAGGATCACAAAGGCCACATAAGGGAACCCTATTGCAGTACAGTGTATGACTCTTAATACACTCTTGGATTCTGTTAGTAGTTTTTTTGTATGTGAATGTTCGCATCTATATTCATAAATTCAACATAGACTCTAAAACCAAAAAATTTAACTTACTGCCACCGAGTTGTTTCCAACTCATAGCAACCCCTCCTTGGGTCTATGGACGTAGATTGCCCAGTCTTCCTTCTGAGGAGTGGTAGGAAACTGCAAGACCCATCAGATGCTTGGCCGTCGGCTTGATTGATTTTGCTCTTGGGGTGCCATCTCCACTTGGTTCACTCAGGTCTGCAACACCGGTATGTGCCGCAATCACAGGAGACGCTTGCCTGGGCCCATGATTCCATGCTGGAATCTGAGCACTGCAGTTTGTTACCTGCTTTCATTCCATCGTTTAACTGATAAGTAGTAAATACCCACCCTGGTATGTGCTCTGGGGATAGGAAGGTGAGTAAGGGAAGCAGGGCCATGAGTGAGACTCAGGGAAGGGTCCTCCCTGGTGAAGCTGAAAGAAAACACTCTTTGTACCAGTTCCTTCCTGCCTTAGGTGGTGCATCCTTGACTGTGTGTCTTTAACGTTGTTGGTAGTTGCCATCAAGTTGACTCTGACTCTTGGCAACCATGTGTGTGATGGAAGGAAATATTGCTCAGTCCTGGACTATCTGAGACCTGTTGGTACATGTCAGCCGCTGTTACAGCCACCGTGTCAGTCTATCTCGCAGGTGGTTACTCCTGTCAGTATTAGCTGCCACCAGGTCGGTTCTGCCTCATGGTGACACCACGTGTCAGAGCAAATCCCTGCTGTGACCATTCAGAGCTGGGTCACTGAGACGTCCCTGGGTGGGTTCGAGCCACTGGCTTTCCATCTACTAGCCAAGTGCTGAATTGTTGGTGCCACCTAGGAACCTGCTACCTTTTCTCCTGGTTTCCCGTTACCAAAGCTGGGGTGTGTGGCAGGGAATGTCTGCAAGTTCACAGACTCAGCTGGAGGATGGAACAAGGAGTTTTGATCGCAGTATGATTGCCATCTGCTCTGATGCTTGATGAGCTCTCTTCCTTGTGAAGTGACACAAACGTTTATTTATATCACCAATCTGTTTTAATTGGTGTTTTGCTTAAGCTCTGCAGTTCCTGTTCTTTCTTTATTTTGTCTTCATGCTGCCCATGGCGTTATTGGATGTGTGTAATTTTAGATATGAAAACAATTTTCATACATAATAATTTTCAGAGGAACTTGTAATTAACTAAAGACGGAAGAGCAGATGTCAGAGCTTGGAAAATGCATTCACACGGAGCAGTTTTCTCAGATGCCCAGTGTCTCTGGCCCCACGCACTGTCCCTTTAACCCCCCAGGGGCCGTGGAGTCAAGTGTAAGTCGTGGTGACCCTGTGTGTGTAAGAGGGGAAAGGTGCTCCTGGGGACTCATTGGCCGGGATCTTATGGAAGCAGACCACCAGGCCTCTCTTTGGAGACACTCTGGTGGACTCAAACCTGCAACCTTTCCCTCAGCAGCCGAACATGTGAACCATTTGCAGGATCTCCTCCTCTCCCTTCAGGAATCCTAAAATTTTCAAAGAACTGGGGTCTAGTTCAGGAGTTCTCTGTGGGATTATGAGAAGAAATGCAAGCAGCTACTGCTCTATGTCCGTTGTTGGCTCCTATTTCCCAGTAGAAGCGCAAGGTGACCTTCGGAAGCGTCAGAAGGTATCTGGGAACATAGGTCGACTGTAGCTTCTCAGTGCCCCATGATACCTGACCCTCCTGGCTCATTTTGGCTTCGCTTCACTTCATTCCACGGCACGCGCCTCCCTGGGTCAATGCAACATGGCAGTTCTGGTTGAAAGGGCACGTGGCAGACCCTTGAAGGGAGAACTGGCTCTGGCCAGGCCGTGCTCCTGCTGTATTTTCGACCACGCTGTGTGAGAAGGAACATGGCCCACGCTCTCTCTGCGTCTTCCTACTGTCCTGATGGGGCCACTTCAGCATGTGGCCCGGTCCTTCCTGACCCTGTGAAATGAGCCGCGTGGGACTCCAGGAGGCCATCTGCAGAGGACCCAGTGGCTCATCACGTGGGAGCAGGAACTCTCTGTTGCGGAAAGCGGGGATGTGGCTTCACATATGAAGTCAGCAGCACACGAACCATACGCTTTCAGAACAAAGAGAGACGGGACTATTAGGGCCTCAGATGGACCCGGTGTCAGAGCGGAGCCCGCCAGTACGCCCCAGGCAGCTTCCATTAGGCA